AGGTAAGTGAAATTATAATCCTGATTTGTTTGATGGTATGCATAAGATTAGAGTCAGGTAAGTAAAATTAATAATTCTGATTTGTTTGATGGTATGCTTAAGATTAGAGTCAGGTAAGTGAAATTATAATCCTGATTTGTTTGATGGTATACTTAAGATTAGAGTCAGGTAAGTGAAATTATAATTCTGATTTGTTTGATGGTATGCTTAAGATTAGAGTCCGGTAAGTGAAATTATAATCCCGAGTTGTTTTTATGGTATGCTTAAGATTAGAGTCGAGTAAGTGAAATTATAATCTGGTAGATTTACTGTCACTAAAAATGTCTGAGATTTGATAATTTGGGATTTTTAGCAGAATAAGTCACTATCGTATAAAGTGGAAGTTTTCTGCTACCAACTTTCCAATATTGTAAGTTATTACAGCAAGTTTCTACTGTAGAATACTTTATTTTGACTGGAATTTGGTACATTAATTTCAATTATCAGTCCCCCCTTCTTGAGTGAATGAAGAGATGTATAAATAGACCACAAGTCTTGAACTTGACTCATAAATTATGTTACACCTGCCCTTCATTCTGCTTTAGTTTCCCAGAAATGCATGACATGTATAGTTTTAATTTGCTTTATTTACAGATGGGTTATCCATGCTATGAAAGCTGAGCTCACCATCAATGATCCAGATTCAGGCGTAAGTTGCTAGTATACAGTATTTAATCTTTATCTTTGATAACAAAATTAATCGCACTTGCTTTAATAGGCCTGTGATGTCATCACAATTGATGACATAAACCTATGATGTCATTACACTTGGTGGCATGCACCTGTGATAGCATCACACTTGGTGGTGTGAACCTGTGATGTCATTACTTTTCTTATCAAGTCAGTGATGTCGAATGTGTGTTGTAAAAAAAAATATTTTGTCTCTCATTGATTCTACTTTCTCCCCTAGATGACAATCCATGACTTATCACCAACTCAAGTTAGGGATTTATTGCATTCAGTACTTAGTTCAGATTCAAGTGATGGAGATCATTGTGATAGGAGTTGGTTACAGAAACGTCAAATGGATGGTGCTCTCAATAGGAACCCACCTGGATTTTATGACAAAGGTAAGAGAGTGTTGATTAAACTTTTTTCAACTTTCATAAAATAATTTTGTCCATGATTTTGTACAATGGTAATTATGTTCTTTTGATCCAAAATTAAAATATGCAATATGCTGCTCACAAATTATGGTTAGGATGACACAGTTGACTGATTTTGCAACTTGTTTTATCACATTTTGTTTACGTAATCTATCTTCTATTTTTGTACAGTGTGGGAAATCTTAGAAAGAACTGTTGAGGGTATGGTGATAGCTGGCTACTACCTTCCACAACAACCTACGATATCAGATATGACAAAGAATGAACTCAATTTTGCTAAGAAAGTAGAAGAAATGCTTGGGAGGATATCACAACCAGAATATAGACAAATGATGGTAGAGGTAAGATATGAACTATAGATAGAACATAGACAAATGATGGTAGAGGTAAGATATGAACTATAGATAGAACATATACAAATGATGGTAGAGGTAAGATATAGAATATAGACAAATGATGGTAGAGGTGTAAGATATGAACTAGAGATAGAATATAGACAAATGATGGTAGAGGTAAGATATGAACTAATACCAGAGAGATAATACCAGGACATGCCATTAATATCACATACTAAATTTACCATTATTTCATATTGCAGTTATTGGTGGTAGTAGCTACCATATTATATCGTAATCCAGAGCTAGTCTTTCAGGACTGTGTTGACATGGACCAGGTACATTTTATTTAAATAGTTATTTTTGCCGGCATAACCGACCGCAAACGCGCACACACACACACACTGGTGAAATGAAATCAAATCCACCCTTCTTGCTGAATCCAGTGGCTAAGTTTATGTTAAGATAACACTCCCTAAAGGCCAAACTAAAATGTTTTGCTTCTTTTCATGTGTGTCATTTTTAGCTGTTGAGAGGTGAATGTCTGTGTCAACTTTTTACTTTTTCGACTTCTTGAAAACTACAAGCCTAGTTGCTTTAATACTTGGTATATATGTACCTTGAGTAGACCTCAATGCAATGTGTTCATTTCATGATGATATCTTTGATTGATTTGACATTATACATAAAAGGTACTACAGGTGGACCTCTCTCAGATTTGTTCAATTCTTTAATTGAAATGTGCATTGCTAACAGTGGAGGTATCTTAGCAGAGAGGCTGCTTGTTTGCAATTTTGTGAACTGATAAAGTGTGCCACATAAGGTAGAATGGGGAAGTTTTATCGATCCAACTAAACCTTTAATGCATGTATTCAAAGCACTATTTATCATATGTACATTAATAGAGTAAACAATTAAAACCAAATAAATTTTCAAGAAGCCGAATACTTGTCAGTGCACATAGTTTTATAAAGTCTATCATATATGCGCTTATAATAGCAAATACAGTATTTATTTTTTGCACTGTATTACTGATTAGTTGAGTCAAGGCATGATTGGTCTGATTGATAAACGGTACACTTTTAACAGCAAGCTTTCTCAGTTGAGTAATTTTGTTTTACTTTCTCCACAGCTGCTGAATGACGCGTTTGACGATTTCCAAAAAGAGTTGCATGACCACGAAAAACAAGATGACATGACTGTGTTTTTTGATTGCCCACCATTTGCAAAACATGGCACAGCAAGTTACATGGCAAAAGCCGTTACCCACAAACTGCTCGACAGCGCAGTGCAGGTTGACCAATCTGAGGCTTGTGTTATTAGCTAATATTATGTGCATAATCATGACTTGAGTGCTCAAAGGGTTAAACTGGATGAATTAATACAGATTATTTACGTCTGGCCAAACTTTACCAATGACTATATTACGCATCAGATTGATCAATTCTCCAAACTGAATGACAATTATAGTTTATCAAAAACTAAATGAATGCACATACAAACTGCGGCAGACACTTTGTATGAATAAAATGTTGAAATTCAGGTTACCAGTCAACCTAAAACTGAATGTGATAAAAAGATATACCTGAGAACCCCATGTGATGTTAAAATAAAATCGACCCAATCATGCAAGAAATTTAATTTGGGGGGGGGGGGGGGCCCATTGTTGTCTCAATATGAAAACTGAACTCGAAGCATCCATACAGGGACAAATAACCAATCATGATGGTACATTTGTGCCACATGCTCAATAGAACTGACCTGCATGCCTTGAGAGATTTGTGACATGTAAATAGCTGTATATAGAAATAGTTTATGCAGTGGCTGCAACTTGTGTTTTTAGTAAGAGTTGGAATGAAATGTGTATTGTACTAATGCTCACATCTGCAGTGTTTAATCCATGTGTGAATCTGTCTTCAATAAGGTGATTAACTTGCAAATCTAAAAATTGTTTCTTTATGAATAAATTATGACAGTTGTTGAATACTTCTATCTTATATTTTTGTCGAGCGGAACTTATCATACAAGTAATAATTGTCAGTCTTCCTCTGTGTCAATGTTTTACTTTTTCGACTTCTTGAAAACTACAAGCCTAGTTGCTTTAATACTTGGTATATATGTACCTTGAGTAGACCTCAATGCGTTCATTTCATGATCATATCTTTAATTTTGGGGAATACCGCAAGTCCAATTACTTATAGGTACTACATGTGGCCCTCTCTCAGATTTGTTCATTTCGTGATGGTATTCTCAATTATCTAATTTTGACTCCTTGTTGAAAACAGCAAGTCCCATTGCTTTGATAATATACATATTGTTCATTTTCTAATGATATCTTCTGTTCTTTAATTGAAAATGTGCATTGCTAACAGCGGAGCTATCTCAGCCGACTGCTTGTTTATTGATCAAAATAAAGAAATGTATTGAGTTTTATTGCCTGGAATAGTCTTGTAAAGAGGATACAAGTGGTTGCTAAGGGAAACTGTCGAAGAATAAAAGTCATTTGGCAAAAACAGTTTCAGTTTCCTGAAATGTAGCTGTGTGTCACCTGCATGACTGATTTCATATCATACATGTAGGTACTTAGCTGCATTGCTATCGTGTTTGAACATTACCATAAACAGACAGAAAATTCACATCTGAAAGCAGAATTATTTATTCATGGTTTGAGTGGTATAACTATGCAGATCCACATTGAATCTTTCAATTGCTGTCCTTAAAACCCAATAATATAACGCTAGTTCTGTTAATAATCAAATTATTCCAGTAAGAAAATTAGTGATCATTTGATATGCAGGACCAGGTTTCCACTGAGGAACTAAGTGACCTGCACCTTTGACCGTGACAAACGTGAGATTCTTGTATTTATGGTAGAATCCAGCAACTTGTTTCTTATGAACCCAGGCTTGTCTTTCTTGAGTTTCCTTGAACAAAAACAAAATTTACAAGTAAAATCTTGATGTGTAACATTTCGTACTGGCCAGTAATGTGAGGGCCCTTACACTGACGGCAAGTCTGTTGGACTTTTGCGTTCACCCCTCATTTACGCAATTTATATTTATTTTTAAGAATTTTTCATCGAAATCGCAACAGACTGCAAGCAAGTCTAGTTTGTCCCCCAAAACTGAATGAACTATCATAGATTAAATATAACTGTTGACAGTGATTGTGTGTGTTCAATGTAAGATCAACACAGAGGAAATTTGGTTCAAATGTTAATATTGTAGGAAATTTCCTGAGAATTGTATGCATTCTTTGCAGCATACGGTAGCATACAAATTGGATTGTTTATGTGTGGGGGAAATAGGGTATCTTCAGTTTAGTTAGTTCAATATATACTAGAAAGTTTTGTCATATGCTTCGCTCAATGGCATCTACATGTGTGTTTTTCAGGCCTAGGAATTAAACATGCACTACAATGCGTGTAAATTCTCACCACTGAAAATGTAACCCCCAAGTCCATGTGGAAAGCATTATTTATCTTTATATATTTCACACTGGAGTATTTTTAGAATAGTAACTATGGTGATTTGCATAATGCATGGCTCTTTAAAACCCCTTGCAATGTTATCCAAAAAATAAAGCTGTTGGAAGCATTGAAACATTCACGCTTCTGACTTCAACTGATTTAAACAAACTTGGGACAGATAATCACTTTCCTTATGCTAGGTTATTATTTCCTGCCAAATAAGATGGTTTTTATAAGACCTATGACAGATATTGTTCAAAACAAAAAATGACTAAAACATTGACAGGGACAGTCAGGCTGGCCAATTTTTGTCACCATTCAATAAATAAACCGACATATTATTTATTTCCATATATTTTTTAAAAATTATGACTTAACCATGTAAGTAAATTAACATAGGAATTAGAGAAAAATCTTGCACCAAAATATTTGAAGTACTGTAGAATACTTCATTTTCGCCATGAATTTATTTTTGCTGAAAGGATGATGCCGTGAAAATACTTGTTTTCCTATATTTCATATTAAACTCATCAAAAATCAGTGAAAATAAATTCCACACCAAAAGCCTTTTCAGCGAAAATAAAGTATTCCACAGTGATTGAAGAGTTAAAGATACAATATGGTTGAAGACGTATTTTTTTTTTAAATATTGTTGTTGACACTTCATACTGTAAACAACAAATAAAATTTTGATTTTATAATAAACAAAAATCTTGAGTTTACAGGACACACAACAGCTCATTAGAAAACAAAAATACACATGTTCATTGATTGTTTTTGTATGTACCAAAAAAAAAACTTTACAAGAACATTCTTTTCATGACATATGATAAATCATATTATTATACATCTGTCACCGTGACGCCATAGGTTACAGCGTGCCGTATTTTACAGGGTATTTTCATTCTACCATATTAGGAAATGCGAATTCTAAATATGGAATGACTACGCTTGTAAGCATCCTCCAATAATAAAAACAAACATGGCTACCACTAGGGTTTAACCGGGACTCCACACAAAGAACTTCGCTGATTCTGTTCTAAAATTTTTGGATTTCGGCATTCCCATGACGTATCCTTAGAAGGAAAAGATGTATAATAATAAGGTTATTACGAGAATACCTCAAAGTATGCACTCAGAGTGTTCACTGTCGCATCGACCTCCGCTGCCCATCAGTCGATACTTCTGCTGTACTGTCGTTGTGCATACTTTCAGGTATCCTCGTAATAACCTCATAGTCCAATGTATTCATCAACATACAGTATAAAAGTACAATATTCACAATTTTTATGTTCTTGTCCTGATTAATAGTGTGTGACATTCAATGTACATTACCTTGAGATTCAAAGAATCCACGAACCACTGACTACCAAGAAAATTACACGCCATATCAGTATCACCATTATATACCAGTCCTTTATACTTCTGTAATAACGCTTTGTATTGATCATACATTGTATCGTATGTTGACGTGTAGCCGTTTTCGACTTCAGTACTATTTTAAAATAAAACAAAGGAAATAATATTTGAAGTCAGGTTGAGATCAAAAGTTGTCACCTCTATCTGCATATAGGTTGTTAATCACAACTTTTTTGTCACAAAATAGTTCGCTTTATAGTCTGCACTCTCCTTCAGAAGATTAGGACAAAAATAGCCAAATTTTCTGAGTGATAACTAAAAATTGACCCAAATTTCATCTGTTCGCTCCATTTCCAGAAATATTACAAAATATAAGAAAAAAAGTGCAGAAAAATTTGGGCAAGAAAGTCTGGTGGATAAAAGTGCAGTTTTGACCTTCTAATAAACTTGTGAGATTAGGTCCAATTCAATTGAGCAGACAGTTGTCCAATTACAACTGATGGTGAAAAGCCCATACTGACCTACAAACATCCCATGCCTGCACTTTGCTTGGTACATGCAAAGATTTCCTCACTGATGCCTGGTTTAGATAGGAGATGAGAGCAGATACATTAGCACATCGAGGAGTCTCAGCCAGGTTATATGTTGACATCACCTACAAGAATATTTGATATAAAATATATATTACACAGTCTTCAGCATCCAGGTCAGCTTGTTGTTTGGTACTGGCCTAATGCATAAATTAATTGAAGAGAAGTGTAAATTCATACTGACTTTTGCTGACTCAAAGCAAAACTACAGAATTTGACATTTGCTGACACAAACCAAAACCAAATTTGATATTTGCTGACACAAACCAAACAGACAGTATTTGATATTTGGTGACACAAACCAAACAGACAGTATTTGATATTTGCTGACACAAACCAAACAGACAAAATTTGACATTTGCTGACTCAAACCAAACAGATAAAATTTGATATTTGCTGACACAAACCAAACCAAACAAACAGAATTTGATATTTGGTGACACAAACCAAACAGACAGTATTTGATATTTGCTGACACAAACCAAACAGACAAAATTTGACATTTGCTGACTCAAACCAAACAGATAAAATTCGATATTTGCTGACACAAACCAAACCAAACAAACAGAATTTGATATTTGGTGACACAAACCAAACAGACAGTATTTGATATTTGCTGACACAAACCAAACAGACAAAATTTGACATTTGCTGACTCAAACCAAACAGATAAAATTTGATATTTGCTGACACAAACCAAACCAAACAGACAGAATTTGATATTTGGTGACAGAAACTAAACGGACAGTATTTGATATTTGCTGACACAAACCAATTTGACAGTTGTTGACAAAAAGCAAATTAACAAAATTTGATATTTGCTGACACAAATCACACAGTATTTGATATTTGCTGACACAAACCAAACAGACAGAATTTGATATTTTATGACACAAACCAAACAGACAGAATTTGATATTCTCTGATACAAACCAAACAGACAGAATTTGATATTCTCTGATACAAATCAATTTGACAGTTGCTGACAAAAAGCAAAACAACAAAATTTGATATTTGCTGACTCAAACCAAACAGAATTTGATATTTGCTGACAGAAACTAAACCGACAGAATTTGATATTTGCAAAAACAAACCAAACAAACAGAATTTGATATTTGCTGACAGAAACTAAACCGACATAATTTGATATTTGCTGACACAAAACAAACCAAACAGACAGAATTTGATATTTGCTGACAGAAACTAAACAGACATAATTTGATATTTGCTGACACAAACCAAACCAAACCAAACAGACAGAATTCGATATTTGATGACACAAACCAGACATAATTTGACATTTGCTGACACAAACCAAACAGACAAAATTCGATATTTGCTGACACAAACCAAACTGACAGAATTTGACATTTGCTGACACAAACCACACAGAATTTGACATTTGCTGACACAAACCACACAGAATTTGACATTTGCTGACACAAACCACACAGAATTTGACATTTGTTGACTCAAACCAAACACACACAATTTGATATTTGTCGACATAAACCAAACAAAACACACAAAATTTGATATTTGCTGACACAAACCATGTTGATTTTTAATAAATTTTAAAAAGAAAAAAGATGATGAGAATTGACAGTTAAAAGAACAATTAAATGCTTGACTCACCTTATGTGGTTTCCATTTCGGAAGTTCAAAATGATAGAAACTGAAGACATTCTTCATATCATTTCTATATCTGTAGTAATGTGGAGGTATTCCACCGGCACAGTCCATGTATAAAGCATATTCATTCAATCCAGCATCAAATACAAAATGGTTGACTTGATGTAACTGAAAAAATAGATAGAACGACATTGCACTTGAAAGACTGGCTTCAAAGTCATGGCTATTTGACCTATAGTGTTAAATCTTTAGACAATGAATAATATGCAGAACAAAAGATATATGCATAACTATATTTTTATTACCATCTAGTGTGGTCATTTCTTTGGCTATATTGTTACTCCAAAATTAAAAGAGAACCATCCCTGGCAACGTTGTGTGATATTAACTCCAGTCTGAGTCTAAGACTTAGATACTGGATAACCAACTGCCATTGGATTATGGTTTTCAATGGCAAATCATGAGAATAACATTTGGAAAAGATTTAATCCTATTTAATGGACATTAAATTGGCAAGATATGGAAAAAGCCGATAAGTTGAACATCAAATATTAATGAAAAGATGTAGTTAACCAACTCCTCCCAATAAAAGATTACAGTATTTGCTTCATTAGATGCGTATACAATGCATTTTTATAGACCTGACATTTCTGTGAGCACATGTGCTACTAATAGAGCAAATATAGTATGTCTTTGTTTATACGATAATTCAACGAGAAATTTTGCTAGTTTAAAAGTTGGAACATTTGGTTAGGGAGTCACAATATAAGAGTTGAAATGCTTAGTTAGGGAGTCACAATATAATAAGAGTTGAAATGCTTAGTTAGGGAGTCACAATATATCAAATAGGGTATGTACATTCTGGTACTTACAGCAAGTTGACAGTTAGCATCAGTGTTATTGTGGAAATTACACACTCCTTGGTTACAACAATAGTCATTCAGATTGGTCCAAAGACTACAAAAAAATTGATTGTAAAAGTAATGAACTAATATAGTAATAGCAAGTCATTTGTATTTGGCTGAATTGATATTGAGGACAGAAAATGGCTTGCATATGTGTCTCATGTCAAAAGTGTGTTGAAGATGAGCTGGGACTATTGAAAACTAATAAACAAAATGGCTAAATTGGTTAAATTTCCTCAAAACCCCCAAAACTATTGAAGAGAAAGTGAAAATGTTTAGCCCCTGTACAAAATTCAAACAAAATGAAAAAAAAATGTTTCTAAGAAATAGGTATGTAAGTTACAATATAAAATAAATGGCCACCAGTACGCCATTTTGAATCAAATCATGAAACAAAATGAAGTGCATCAGTAACCCACCACGAGTGATGTCAATACCTAGTTTAGATGAAATTAGACACATCTGGTAAATATTTTTTGGGACAAAAATGGCCACCAGTCACAGTCACCAACAACACAACACGAATGAAGTTATAAGAAAAGAACACTTACTCATCTCCGAATACACCATGGTAGTAAGCAAAGTAGACCAACGAGTTGTCGTTTAGCTCACGACTTGATAAACCATTTCCAACTGCAAAACCCTAATAAGTGGGGAAGCAACACATTAAATCAAGAAACACAAAAAAGAAACATGGAGAGGAATGACGACAATATCATGAGTTACAGCAGGAACATGCATTTTGCTAATTACTGTTACATTATCATACATTACCACAGTGATGCAAAATGGGACAGATCACAGCAATGTAAAATAAACAGACTAGTTCAATGCAAAGTTGTGAAGCTTCTTGTATTCCCATGAAAGAATGAAAAACATTCCATAATGGGAAAACTTTATTATGCATTGGCAATAATCACTTGCGATCAAACAGAAAAAATATCATGGGATTACATACAAGTAGCTCACCTTATTAACATGGTGATAAAGACAGATTGAAATTTACATATTTCCTTACATTATAGTGGTCTTCCCACTTGCCAATCAAATGCTTAGAGTAGGCATAAAAACTAATCAGTAGATGTAATGACTAGAATTATGCAAAGATCTTATAAACCACGTTTTCATAACGCAAATAAAAGATGAACAAAAGCTTGCACAAACTCTCCTTGAATGCCTGGCCAGGTTGGCCACCACCTCCAAAAAACCTTGGACAGTAGTTCCCAGGCGAGAATTTAATATACGATTAAATGCACATTTAATTATCTAAATACAAATTATCAGTAGTGATAGTAATCAGTAGCAATGCCAAACCAAGTTCATCATTACTTTGTGAAACGATTATTGCACAAGGTAATACATTTCACATGGCTTGGTGTTTTTTCTCAAGTCATCATACATAATACGACAAGAACAGGATGAATTTGAATACATTTCACATGGCTTGGTGTTTTTTTTCAAGTCATCATACATAATAAGACAAGAACAGGATGAATTTGAATACATTTCATTTTATTCCATTTTCATCATAGTTCATATTTATTTGAAAAATATATTTTTTAATAAAATAGTATTTTCTCAGAGTATGAAAAAAACATCAACCCCCACATTTAAACAAATTTTCAATTTCATTATACTCGTACAAGCCTCACAGAACTATTAAACTTAGACGACAATGAACTTGAAAAGCAGAATTCTGTTAAACAGAGAGCTGAATCAAGTACGAAAAATTTTAAAAAGTTCAAAAAGACTTCTCAAAATATGTAGGATTACATTCATTCAGGTGATATCAAATCTAATTGTGGTGCGAAACCTATAACTGTCCTGAATTGCATCTTGACAACTGGAACCCCATACGTGTAATGCAGTATGAATTAAATTTAATTAATGTCTTTACATGCATTGTAATACACCCTATGGGAACCATTATACCATGTTACAACTATACATGTGTGAAAGCCTCTGTATTGTAACTTGGTCAGATTACACCAAGGTTTTTCTGACTTTGATGATGATAAAGTAAAAACTGAAGAGACCGACAAAAAAGGTGAAAGTTTTTAAAATCTTTTTACAATAAATGGACAGTATAATCAAATTACATTGATGCAATAATTGCCATTTATTTATGGTAGAGTTTAACACTGCATATCATTTTCCAGAGAAGATGTTGTGCGACTTTCAAATAAAAAATCGTGATATTATGAAGCAGTGAGGTTTCAGTCACTTTTTTGAAATGTACTCAGATGCTATTGACTCATCAAATTGAAAATAAATTAAAGTTTAGAATAGTATTTCATAACTAGTTTGATTTAACTAGAACTGTATTAACTTTCTGAGACTTTGAAGTTTGAAATGGGGAATTGGATTTGTGGAATAAAAAGAAGTACATTTCATATATATCCAATATGTGAAGCATAGATACAGTGCATTATATTATTGGCAACAATGAATATTAAAGTGGGGAGTCGTCACCTACGCGTGTTTCAGGTGACCATGCGTCTACCCATGAGTCTTTGCGTTCTTATCGCACATAATCATCGCTTAGAACTCAATTTCTGTGCTTGCGCAGGTGACGACCCACTCACTTTGAAAGAGTCATGCAAGTTTTGTGAAAGTTGACTTGGCAATCAAAGGCTTAAATTGGTATATGTTACTATTGAAACTGCAAAATAAAGAACAGGGAGGAAAATAAAAAGAGGGGCGTGTACCCAACCTTTGTAATTTCCCCCCATAGCATTAAGCCTCAATTGTGGTGGAACCTGTGGTTTGGGTTTACTTCCAGACTTTTAAATAGTAACTGGGAGAATAATGCACAACTTTACAGGTTGAAAGTGAAATACTATGCACTAATTATGTATACCAGATCATTAATATGCACAGACTTACACCAAAACAGTGAGTCTGTTAAAATTATATTTGAGCTATTAGAGGTCTGCGCATTATATTCAAATAGATGATTTACAATACTGCAAATGCAGTGTTGAATGGTCACTGTTATCAGCAGCCAGTTTAGAGAATTTATTTAAAAGTTGAGAAAATCAAAATATTCCTGCAAGGAAATTAGTGATCATTTGATATGCAGGACCAGGTTTCCACTGAGGAACCATATGACCGGATCCTTTGACTGTAGCAAATGTGATATTTTCGTATCTGTGGTAGAATCCAGCAACTTGTTTCTTGTAAATCCAAGCTTGTCTTTTTTGAGTTTCCTTAAACATAAGAAAAAACTTGTTTAGATACAATATGTATATGAATACCTTTCAGAGTACGCCAGAAACACTTCAATGGCTTGTACAGAATTATCAAACGTACACTCCCCATGGTATAATCTCCCACAAGATGGAAGACTCCCATGGCTTTGTTCTCCCATGAGAGTTTATGGTACAATCACCCAGGGTATGGAGCACTTCCATGGCTTGGTCGACCCAACCGAGTCTACAACACACAACACACCCATTGCAAAAAAATTATCTGCATTTAATACCGTACTCGACCGTGTTAGTGCCCAGGATTCTCAAATCAGAAAATCATGATTTTTTAGGGGTGGATGCTCAGCCGAGCACCCACCACCCCTCGGAAAAAAGTGCAAATGACAATTTTAATTCACCATGTGACAGATTGAGGGGATTTTACATCTCATAGAGAAAATAAAATTACAAAATTGTTGTGTTGAATGTGACTGAATATAAAATTGCGCAAAAGTTGGGGGTTGTCGCTTGACCAGGCATGGGCGGCGCTAGCCTTGGTCGAGTACGGTATATATATTGAACATTTAGTTTAATTAAATATGCACTTTAAAAAATAGTGTAGTGTGACTTGTATAAATATCACTGTTGTGTCAAAAAGCGGCATTGCCCTCAACCATCCAAGTAAGTTGTCTTCTACTTCTGCACAGTAACTGATACGGTCTGTAAACCCTTGCTTCTTAGAATCAAAATTATATTTGTTGAGATTATATTTAAATTACTTACAGTCTCTACAAAACTAAACATAACACTAACAGTAGCAAACTTCAGCCTTACTTTGAGGTTTAATGATTCCACAAACCACTGATCACCAAGGAAATTACACGCCATATCGGTATCACCATTATACACCAATCCTTTATACTTCTGTAATAACGCCTTGTATTGATCATACATTGTATCGTATGTTGACGTGTATGGTATGTTATCACTGTAAGTAAACACAAAACATATTGAAGACAAACCATGCATGGCATAGTTACAGTTAGTTATCAAATTTAAGATGTATAGTTTGTTTATAGTAATATAGTTCAAACATAAACATGACAGACATGGATCCAGAAGTCGATGCTTGATGATGATTTTTTCAACATTAATATGATTGACATTCAGTCATATGCTTAGCCAATACGCTCATCATTATACACATATAATGCAAGTTTAATTTTCTCTTCATACAAGACTTTACAAGTAAATTGTAGGATGGTCCTTGGATAATTTGATAACATAACTTGACAGTCACACTTTTGTCACAAGGTTTTTCCAAAAAACGTCTAACAATTTTACCTGCAGTCAATGAGAAATTTGTTCATTTGGTCCAAAATTAAAAAGAAAGTATCACAAAATGTGCAAAATAGTGCTCCAAAATTTAATATGATCAGGAGCATTTAATTATCAAATTTAAAATATATAATTTTGTTTATAGTAATATAGCTGGAATATAACCATGTCAGGAATATGATTTTTTAACATTAAAATGATTGACATTTGTATCCGATCGTCAAACAAGTACTTGTCCATATTGAGAGATATTGCTCTGGAACAGCATTCAAAATCAGCCATTTTGAATACATGTATATATATAACATGATGTACAACGAATATATAAAATTTAAATATAATAAGTCAAAGCATTTAAGAGATATGGCTCTAGAAGCCCAATTATTAAAACAAAATGGCCGCCAGTCAGCCATTTTGAATCCAATCTGAAAAATAAAATGACGAGCATCAGGAACCCGTAATGTCTAATGTATGTACCATGTTTGAATGAAATCCACCCATAAATGCTTGATATTTGATGATTTTTTAGCAAAAAAATGACCACCATTCAGTCATTTTGAATAGGATAGTCAAACCAATATATCTGTTTATCTATGACATGATGTATAATGAATATTTAAAGTTTGAAAATATTATCAGTCAAAACACGTCTGAGATATGGGTCTAGAAGCCCAATCATTAAATCAAAATGGCAGCCAGACAGCCATTTTGAATCCGATCTAAAAAACAAAATTATTTGCATCAAGGTCCCATAATGTCTAATGTATATACCAAATTTGAACAAAATCCATCTGTAAACAGCCGAGAAATGGTTGATTTTTAGGATTTTTTAGCACAAAAATAGCCGCCATTCGGCCATCTTGAATCAGATCGTGAAACAAATTGACATGCATATGTATAATATCATGTATGATGTATGTGTGAAGTTTGATTGTGATTGATCCAGGCATTTCTAAGATACAGGTCCGGATGCACGCATAGACGCACAGACACACGGAGGTCAAAACACAAGTCCCCGTTTTCGGACGCCGTACGAACGGGGACTAAAATGACAAAGTGTTGAAGAAAATCAAAGGTCTGTTAATTTCATGCTTGTGACAGAAATTGAAAATGAGAAAAGGATTCAACTTGAACAACACTGAATGTCATACAGAAGTAATTTTGCTGTTGATGAAACAAATGGTACAAAACCATGTACCAGTAAAATAATTTGAATGCCAAATGCTATAAATCCTGGAAGAGTTGCTATGACTACTAAAATCCATATTCATTATCAAATCTTTAAAAACAATGATGTACACTATGATGTCACAGGTATAAAGTACAACATTGTATTGGGCATAGTTTGCATCAAAGTTAATCGGTTGGCAAGGACCCAATAACTATCGCTGACCAAGTCATAGTACTGCAACCATTGGGTGTCGCATACATCCTAGTTCTATCTATGGGTATTGTTGCCCTATAGCAATAGTCTTCATGTTTAATTGTTTTTGAACTTCTGACAAATGCTAGCATTTTGTAGAAACAAATGAAATTCTCATCGACAGCGAGTCCCCCAGAATATACCAGGACATGCATTCTTTCAGGAATACTGCATTGAAGCCATAAAATCTGGAACATTCGAGAACCTGCAACTTCAAAAACATGTTTTTGGTACTCACTTGCACATTGCCCATGTTGGCAAATTTGATGGTATATGCAATGCTTTCCTCACATTTTCTTGATTTAAGAAGTTGGTAATGGCTGTAACATTGAGACATGGAGGGACACCACCTAGAGTATTCTTTGAGGAGTCATTGCTATTGACCTGCAAAGACAGATACAAACTGATTGCTCAATGTTCTGGCAAAAAACACGACTAACACTGCCACACACAAAACAATATTTTCCCTGATTATTTTTCAAGCTGACATGGTCAGAGTGAATTCAAAATGAATTTGAGCTACTCTAGAATGTCAAATCAAATCTATACCATGTCTCGAGAAACCAAAGCAGCAGGACTTGGCTTGTGTGCTTCAAATGAAAAAGACAGAATTGACATTTGCAGCCTTGAACCAGACAGAATTTAACATTTGTTGATTCAATTGAGGTAGTAACAACAAGTGCAGAAAACAGTTAATGAATTTCAGTATTTAAAAAACAAAACAAACAAAAACAAGATTTGACAGGTGTGGTAAAAGTTGCAGTGAAAAAACAAAGGCTGGACTCACTTTATGTGGTTTCCATTTCGGAAGTTCAAAATGATAGAAACTGAAGACATTCTTCATATCATTTCTATATCTGTAGTAATGTGGAGGTATTCCACCGGCACAGTCCATGTATAAAGCATATTCATTCAATCCAGCATCAAATACAAAATGGTTGACTTGATGCAACTAAAAATAAAGTAAATGGATAGCATCTTATTGACATTGCATATGAATGAGTAGTTTCAAAGTTATGGCTGTTTGACCTAAGGTGTTTAATGATTAGACAATGAATAATATACAGAACAATAGATATATAGCATAACTATATTTTTATTACTTTCTATTATGTTAATTTCTTATAAAAAAATGGCTATATTGTTACTTCAAAATTAGGATAGAATCTAGTAAGTCTAAGATTCAGATACAGAATTCACAACTGGTCCAGTGGATGAAGGGTTAAATGGCAGATTATGAAAATACCATTTGGAAAAGATTTAATCCTATCAGCAATTGTACATTAATTCAGCGGGATATGGGGAAACCTGATAATTTGAATATCTAATATTAACAAAATGATGTGGAAATTCTTTTCATCTGTTGGTATTTGACTGGATTTAATATAACATACTTCATTAACAAACTGCCCAATCAAAGATCACAATATTTGCTTTATTACATATTACGTTAAGTGTAAACAATGTATTTTTACATTGACAATTTTGTAAGCACATGTGCTACTAATAGAGCAAATACAGTACGTCTTTGTTTATACGAAGGTAAAGTTTGCTAGCTTAAAATTTGGAATATTTGGTTAGGGGGTCATAATATACGAGTTGAAATGCTCAGTTAGGGAGTCACAATACAGAGTATGTACATTCTGGTACTTACAGCAAGTTGACAGTTAGCATCAGTGTTATTGTGGAAATTACACACTCCTTGGTTACAACAGTAGTCATTCAGATTGGTCCAAAGACTACAAAAAAAATTTATTGTGAAAGTATTTATTATACATCTGTCATCGTAACACCATAAGTTACAGCATGCCACAATTTTGCGGTATTGCACTTGGTGTTTTTGTCCCACCATATTAGGAAACGTGCATTCCAAATATGGAACGATTATGCGTGCAAGCATTCTCTGATAATAAAAACAAACGTGTTTTCCCCCAGGGTTTAACAGGACCCACACAATAAAGTTCGCTAAATCTATTCTAAATGTTTAGGGTTCAGTCTCAAACAGTACGTGGTCGCATCAACCTCCGCTGAGTGTCGGTCGATACTCTCGCTGTACCGTCTTCGTGCATACTTTGCAGTATCCTCGTAATAACCTCATAACATGTTTATGTGTTTCATTATGTCTTGTGGAAAGATTGAACACAAAACACAAGTCCCAGATTAAGGAACTATGTCCAACAGTAACTAATAACTAACTAAACCAACCACATAACACAAAGGAAGGTACAAGTAATGTACACTTACTCATCTCCGAATACACCATAGTAGTAAGCAAAGTAGACCAACGAGTTGTCGTTTAGCTCACGACTTGATAAACCATTTCCAACTGCAAAACCCTATAAGTGGAGAAGCAACACATTAAATCAAGAAACACAAAAAGCAAATATGTAATGCGTGCAATGAGAATGATTGGAATATCATGGGTTAGAGCAGAAACAAGCGTGTTACTAATTACTGTTGTGTTATCAAATGCATTACATGGACATCTCCAGAGTGATGCAAGACAGGACAGAACACATGAAGTTACATAAACAGAGCTTTGTTCAATGCAATGTCTGTCAGCTTCTTGGTTCCAATGAAAGAATATAAAAACATTTTATTACATTATAGTAGCTCACCTTATTAACAAAGCAATAAAGACGGACTGAAACGACACTGTAGTGGGATGACATACATCAAATACATGTATACGGAATAATACCAGCAAAAAGTGGGCGTTGCCAAGCATGTTCATAGCATGAAGCGGAAAATAGTAGCGTTTAACAGTTAATTGCCTTTTAAGATAGTGCACTTCTTGATGAACCACTTTACAATGCATGCAGCGCAGTGGTGACTATACTTAAAAACAAGTTTATTTGTTATTGATATTATTGTGTTGTGTTTAGAAAGCTACTTTATATATGCACTATTATTTAAAGAAAGTAAAGCCATCTGTCTGGGCAACACTTTAACATGTACATGTGTAATCAATTGATTTTTTCTTTGAAGTGCCAAAAGCTTGTCCAACACTATACTAGAAAAATGTTTCATGATGGACAACTTACATGATAAACAAAACAAAAATGGGAAAAACAAATAAATGTTGCACACAATGGATCAAGTCTGGGATGAGGAAGAGTAAATTGACTTCAGTGGTGAAAAGCTTTATATTTATAACTAGACAAGCAGAACCAGTGAGTAAACTTCCCCACATCCTTCATTTAGCTTAGCGGAGCAATTAAAAGCATGGGAAAAAAATCATGCAAAACTCAATTGTAAAGTTAATGAATATGCATTGCAGGAACATTTAGGGTAGCTTCTTAAACCTCAGACTAGTAATACAACAGACTCGCAACGCGGCGTTTTCTTTTGAAGTAATGCGTGCCACGTTTGTTTAGGTTATTAGTTCTTGTCCTACCGAGTAAACGTTGATGAGCAACAACATTTTCATTATATTTCACAAAATAACGCGAGATCTATTTATATTACAATCAACTATCGCGATGCATCGCGAGAAATAAAGACAGGAAGTGACATAGATGACAGGAGTTGTCAGTGAACTTCGAAAATGGCATTTACGGAAAAATTTGGCGAATCTGAAGACGATAATTACGAGTGGGAAGCTATTTTAGGAGAACATTTTGACGAAGATAATGACAATTTCTCTGTAGAACTTTGCAACCCCTGATCGATCTCGTGTTTTTCATTTCCTGAAATTAGCAACAATACTGACACACAATAGAAAATTGAAACAGTCACTGAACAACGCGTAGATCGCGACAAAAATAACGCACCTCAATTAAGCCGATTAACACCTTAAACAATAGGCGTAGACAGAAATGACTTTTCAAGTTTGAAAACTTTCTCCCATGCATTTATATAAAACAGCATTATTCATTTGATTTTGCAAAAAAAAATATCACATATTGTCCAATATCCATACTTTGCAGTATCCCAGTAAAAACCTACATCTATCTTGTTGTATGTAGCCCAGAACTGAGCAAGCTGATGAAATTTAATGAACCTTTTTGCTATGAACTTGGTTTTCAAATATGTCCGCAGTTTGAAGTTCCTAATGAAGTAGGATGCAGATACCCTGTGCAACAACACAGCAAGAAAAAAATGGCATGCTGTAACTTATGGGATACAGTGTTCTCCCCACATAGAACAAAGCATGGCGGCACCACCATGCTTGGCGACCCGGCCGCCACGCTTGGGCTCGGACCGCCATGCTTACAACTTCACCGCCATGCTAATAGGATGCATTGTTTACGTCCATTTGACCCGCTCACACGTAGCACTGCATAAGTTATCACCGTCAACACCACGGCGGTTTGAACTTGCCGGGACAAATTAAACAGTCCCATTGTTAAACACGTGTGAAGTACAGACGCTGTCAATGGGGAACAAATTGTCACTCAAGTTGCAAACACCGAGATGCTATATGACAAAACATGTAAAGGAAAAAAAGGTGATGCCGCCCGGCTAAAACGTACAATCACCGCTAACACAGCACAGAAACGGAAGCGTGTAGAAACACAGAAACGGCGTGAGGCTGGTTTTGATGAGTCTTGGAAAAAGACATTTCCTTGGTTAAGGTCAATTGTTCAGGTAAGATTTCGTAATTTTAGAAATAAAATGCCAGGTTGTGTATGTTTTGCCGATCGTAAGAACACCGAACATGGTAGGCCTACACCGATTTCAATCAACATCTTAGACACGAGGCTGGTATAGACACGACAGGAAAAAAAAACATCACTCGTTACTGTCAACTTTTTTTAGATTATTTATGGATATCTTCATAGATTAATGGGTACGCGTATGTTATAATTTGCCCAAGCAAACAAAAATCGAATTTT